AAAAATGTAAATTGGCCGCTGATTACAGTGCCAGTTGTAAAAAACAAGTGTCAAAATAAATATTGATGGTTTTTATACGATACAAAAAAGTGTAGATCTAGAAATGGATTTTTCTCATTATCGGAAAGAGTACCGCTTACATTTCTAAATTCACGAAACATATCAAAAAACATTGATAATATTCATCATGTCATGCCGATCATTTGACGTTTCGCGGCGTAATATAATAACATTTCAATCAAATTATGTTTCGTTACAATTCCAATAATTATTTCGGCATTAATTGTATATATTTATATATGTCATGATGATTATACGTAACACGCCACAATTGCAACAACAAATCTTCTGTTTTTCTTGCACCTTGTATTGTGACATCGGACATAAGAAATCTTTTCTTGTAGATATTTCTACGTTATACGTATTCAACAAGATATACGTCGTTGGTTATACTTAGATCTTAATTATATAGAATAAATTAATTATTTTGTACATCACTACACATCTGATGAAAACGAATTGACAAAATATACCAAAAACTCTCTTCCTTTATTAATAAATAAATCTCGATAAATCATTATAAAGTATATGAGAATATTTTTGTTAGGAATGTACGACTTATGTATGTAAATTGAATTATATTAATGCTAAAATATATAATGTTAAAATAATAAAAAAGGGAAGGAATTTTTGATATATTGTTTTAATTTGCGTCGCGCGCGGGCGTGACGTACAAGAAAATTAATTTATTTTAATCTATATGAACTAAGAAAAGAAGAAAAGAAAAAAGAATTTGTATGAAGAGAGCCACTTTTCGCTTTTCGCGTCACAGTTCAATGCGGTTGCAAACGAGGGAAACAGGAGCTTCAAGACCATCTGTCTGAGCGCGCTCAAATTGCTTATGTTACAATCATTCGTTATATTTTTCGCGCTGTTAATTCACCGTTCGCAAGGAAGAAGAAAGAAGATACATCCTCGCCTTTTCTCTCTCTGACTTTTCTTCCCTAATAGTGGCTTTCGTTTTCATCGCTTTGACTTTGATCCCAAGTAGCTCGCGCTTCGATTACGAAATTATATCTGATATTTCCACGATACACGATCAAATGAAATTTTTGCATCACGATCTTGAACGTCTTAATTGTTTAAGCTAATTGTTAATATTATTAGCTGCTTGCACGTTTCATCGCAATCGTGAAACGAAGCGTCTCAGCAAATTCCGATTCGACAGAAAAAAAATTAGTCTTAAATCAAACTCATATATTTTCATGTATAAGCAAGAAGCATTATAATCTTCGTATAGAAGATTTTTAAGTGAAGTTGAATAAAGGTAACACTTGCATTAATATAAATGTAATCAAATCAAGATTAAAATTTTTACATTTTTGTTTATATATGAGAATATTTTTATTTTATTTAGAATCAATTTTTTTTCTGTGTCAAACGAATTCGAAAACTGTTCTTGCTGTTATTCACGTCAATCATGTAAAAGGGGAACTCGAGGGACGCGTGCGAAGGGATGCGGGCGAGGAACGTTTCCGTTCCGTACGAAGAACCTATGATTCCTGAGAGATATT